AGATATATTTTTTAGTTGTATAACAATGATAATATTCATCTTTTATTCGAGCAAATATCTGAGGATTCGTGTTCTCGGATATGTTTTCATCATCATTATATGGACAATCAAATATACCATCAACTAAACGATCAAATACAATACATTTTGATGAATTGATACATTGATAGAAATTGGATGAATCACATCGATTCGAAGAGGAATTTACTATTGAATTGAATTTTTTTATTTGATAAAAAATGTTGTCCATGCTTCTAAGATATTTAGTATCCATGCGTTTAGGATTGATCTGTTCATCAATTAAATGTTGACGAAGAACAAAACATGTACTATTGTTCAACAACATATCTGAAGCGAGTTCAAGTGAACCCTCATAAAAAGATTTGTTTGAACATAAGTAAGGTAAGACGAGATGCGATGAATTTCGAATATGATTTTTCTTGTAAACTGTAAAAATATGACCAAAGAACAATGGAGTAGTGGGAATATACAGTATATGTGGACACTCTTTTTTTTATAATACGGATATATTCTTCCACTTTAGTATCCTCATAAGTTTGAAAATAGGATTTAAAAGGTCACAGTTGCTTGTTAAAAATGACGTTTCACATATTGCACCTTCTAGTTCGAACACAAGCTCAGATGAATCAGTAGCACAATTGTACAATGGGTCATCACATTCACAACTTGATATACCTGTATAAATAAATTCGTTCGGTATGCATCGTCCATTCTTACATTGATATTCACCTTCTTCGCACTGATTGAATTCAAGTTGCCAACAATGTTCTTCATCAGAATTTCCATCTAGACAATTAAATACACCATCACAAATTTCTGACCAATTTAAACATGCTGGTGAATGACCACGATTACATTTCAAAATAGTATAACAAGTCAAAGCTTCTTCGTTGTTTCGCTGTTGATAATAATATTCCCTAACTATTTCATAAAATGTTGCAAACGTTTCATCATAATAGTATAGTTCGTATTGGCACTTATGTCCAAATCTTGGTAATGTAAACTTATAAACAAATTGTTTTTCCAAAGATAAATCATTTGATTCCAAACAGTATTGATATTGACCATCGATATAATTCTTCACTTGTAATATTTTGTTTTGCAAGATCATCAAAATAAAATTTTTGAACTGATTCATTATTTTCATTTTCAATAGAAAATTTCGACGATAATTTGCTCATACTAGATGATATGATATTTCTAGTCAAACGACTTTCCTCAACCCATGAGGTAAATCGTAGACAATTATATCGCATACCTACCTCATCAAACTGATCAATGCTTACATGATTGGTAAAATAAAGATTTATTATTATATTGTGGTAAGTAAAGTATTGTACCAAAAAGAAAGAAGAAAGCAGCAACTGCAGAAAAGACTGTAACGAGAAATATTGGAAGCTGACGAAGAACACTGCTACATCGAAATTTTAGATTGTATGGTCTGTGTTTTCCATCACGACCAATCATGAACATTCTCAAGAGATTTTCCAGCAGCAACAGACCGGAACTAGCGATGTATTTTACCGAGTGTAAATTCCATTCCTGGTATGTAAAAAACTGACCGGACGACATCGAAACCAGCAGCAACTATCAAAAGTAAATCAGTGAGACAAAGTTCAATTCGAATATAGTCTTCGACTTTTGCATATTCTGTAAGAAATAATCAATTAAGAACGCTATTTCGCTTTCAATGGTTTATTTCATGTGTGAAAGGTAATCTTTTGTGGAGGCTAATAAAATCACTTGGTTTCAGTCCTTCAGTGTTGATCTGTTAGAGAAATCGTCTTCGAACGTATTTACCTACGAATGTAAGTGTAGAATCTGTTTCTTGTTTTCCATCTCGATTGATATTTTGTTTTCATCTAGTATTATAAAACATATGCTGAACCATTGAATGTTGAAAATAGTAAATTTGAAATGAATGAAACAATTAATAATCTTCTCAAAGAACTATTTGTCGAAGAATGGATCATTTCAAAGAATTATCAAGCATATTTTCATCGATGTGCATCGAATGCATGTTCATATACATATGTGCAACGCTCGAATCTCTTTCAAGTAACCACGATTCTACTTAGTCTTTATGGCGGATTAACAATTTTTTTGCGTTGGTCAATACCAAATTGTGTTAATTTTGGACGAAAAGTACAAAGATTTTTCGTTAGAAAGTTTACAAATATTGTTATACCAATT